GGCCTCCCCAGAGGGCACGGGGAGGCACAAATCGTTTGGTATTCAATGGTTTTTAAAGGTTTTTCGATACCTCGCCTTTCGGACAAAGAACGGTCCAAAACGGCCCAAGAGGCTACAAAGATCGGCCCAAGACGGCCCCAGAGGCCCCCAGAAGGGCCCGAAAACTGCCCAGCAGGGCCCCAGGACGGCCCAAGACGGCTTCAAAACGGACGGCCCCAAGAGGCCCCAAGAGAGCCCCAAGAGGCTCCCAAAGAGGGCCCCAAGAGGCCTCCAAGAGAGTCCCAAGACGGCCAACGGCCTCCAAGACGCCCCAAGACGGCCCCGAGAGAGCCTCAGATGGCTACAGACAGTCCAAGAGAGCTTCGAGACGGCTCCAGAGGCCCTCCAGATGGCCCACGAGAGGGCCTCAGGAGCACAAAAACATTGATTTCCCAATGGGTTTTTGAAGGTTTTCGGGTTTGCGCCTTTTCGGGCCCAGACGGGCCCAACACGGCCCACGAGGCTCAAAGGTCGTCCCAAGACGGCACCAGAGGCCCCCCAAAGGGGCCGAAAACTGCCCCAGAGGGCCCCAAGACGGGCCCCAGAGCGGCCCCAGAAGGCCCAAGAGGGCCCCAAGACGGTTCAAGAGGGCCCCGAGACGGCTCAAGGGGGCCCCAAGACGGCCCCAAGAGAGCCCCAAGAGGGCCCCAAGAGGCCCCCAGAGAGCCCCAAGACAGCCAAAGGCCTCCCTCCAAGACGCCCCAAGACAGCCCCAAAGGGCTCCTAGACGGCCCAAAATTGCTCCAGAAGGGCCCCAAAAGGGCCCCCAGAAGACCCCGACGAGGCCCAAGAGACGCTCAAGAACACCGTGGCTCCCATCAGCAAGCGGTGACGTCACAAGCTCTTGACACCAAGGCTCCCCAGAGCGCGGTGACGTGAAAAGATCGTCGCACCAAGGCTCCTAAGAGCGACGGGCAACGTAAAAGTCTCTGAACACCAGGGCTCCCAACGGAGACGGCGATGTAACAAGCTCTTCACACCCAGGTTCCCGAGAGCGAAGGGTGCCATGAGCCCTCTCGGGCAAGTTCCTGAGGCGCTCTTTCCGTTTCCGTACCGGCCCAGGTGACGGAAAGAGCGAGATACGAGTGATGTACGTTGAGCTGGGGCGAAGCCCTCTAGGGAGGGGTCCAGGGGAGGGGCGAGGACCGAACGCATACGTCGAATGGCCGTTTTTCTATGTGTCCTTATGGTTTTTGCAGGTTTTTCGGGTTTTTCTTTTTTTCCGTCCCAAAAGGGCCCCAGACGGCCCAAGAGGCCCCAAAGATCGTCCCAAGACGGTCCCAGATGCGCCCCAAAGGAGCCCAAACCGGTCCAAGAGGGCTCCAAGTCGGGCCCAAGACGGCCCAAGAGGCCCCAAAGATCGTCCCAAGACGGCCCCAGATGCCTGCCAAAGGGGCCGAGATCGGTCCAAGAGGGCACCCAGACGGCACAAGAGAGCCCCAAGACGGCCCAAGAGGGCCCCCAGACGGACCCAAGAGAGCCCCAAGAGGGCCCCAAGAGGCTCCCAACCGGCCCCAGGAGGAGGGGGAGGAGGAGGAGGAGGAGGAGGAGGA